GCCTATGACAGGCTGGCGGCAGTAGAAACTGAGGCAAGCAGAAGATGAACCTGCTGTGAGAGCTCAGGATCCCATACCAGGGACCATACCAGGGGACCATACCAGGGGGCCCATGCGGACCCCAAGTGAGAGTTCCACGAAGTGAAAGGGATTTGTCTCTTCTGAGTCTTCACCTTTTTTTCTTCCGACGTTAGGAGGTTTGTATATGGCAAAAATGAAAGCTGTCCTCTCGGTGCCGCTGTGTAGGTACATAGTATGTGCTGATGTCATCGTCACTGAGACTCGCCAGGCAGGGCCCCCGGGACCCTTTGATGTTGAGCGGGCAGAGCCCTTATAGCCTTTCCCTGTCACGTGCTGCCCCGCTGTTCCGTCACTGTCATTACTCACAGCCTGGTACGTGCGTCCCTTCCCACTCCCCTTCGTCATCTCCTTATCTCTGCTTATCGCTTGCTCGCCCAGCGCTGGGAAACGCTGCATCTCCAGGGAGCTGGCGTGCAGGTGAGGGGCTGCAGCTCTCTGCGGGGTGGGGCTACAGCCTCCCCCCGCCCCACCCCCGGCCTTGGCAAGGTTTCATTACCCAGGAATGTCACCGTGGTGAGCTGGGCTCTCGGAGGCGGTGGGTGCGTGTGGAGGGCCTGCTCCATGTTCAGCTCTGTGCTGGGCAGGCGGGTGGGGGAGTGACTCAGTGTCTGACACCGGACCTGTGTGGCAGGCGTGTGGAGGCAGTGTCACCTCTCAGAGGCTGCCTGATGTCAGGGAATGGCCTCTCCTGTGGGTCCTGGTCCCAGCTTTCTCCTTTCCTGGGTGACTTTGATCAAGATCTCTAACCTCCCTGAGCCTGCTAACTGCCCCCCCAAAAAATAAGCTTAATGATGCCTGCTGTGAAGGAAGAGCCACTCACTGTAAGGATTAAATGTGTGTAAACGCTGGCATGTGGTAGGTAACAAGGGGACAACGGCTCTTGCCATCTTTATGCGCTGGCCCGGTGGCGTGTGCAGAGCTGTCATGTCCGCTGGTAAGAGAATGGACAGGAAGCAGAAAAGGGCTGCATCCTGGGGGAGGAAAGACAAGGACCAGACGGCGCAGCCAGAGGAATAGCCTGGGGCAGGCAGGACCCTGGGCTTGTGGGGGAGGCTTGAGGCTGGGGCCCTCCCAATGGTCATTTGCTCTCGGAGCTTCCGTCTCCTTTTTTGTCACCTGGTCGCAGCCTGTGAGAGGTCAGAGTGGGCAGGGGAGCATGGCGGTTCCCACAGCCGTGTCCTCCAAAGGCTTCCTCCCTGGCTCGGCACGTGGCTGCTGTCCTCAGTGCACCTTTGGAGCTGGCTCTGTTTGGGCTCAGAAGAAGGGTTCCTGGTGTGAGTCAGCGGTGGTCCCCCCTGCTCCCCCAACTCGCCGTCGTCACTGTGCTCCCAGGGACTCAGCTTGGGGCTGTCAGTTTCTGGGCCGTTTTTCAGAAACACTCAGAATTTCCATTCCATCCTTCCCAGGCAGCAGGCAGCCCCCGTCTGGCCACTCCTGGAGGATCCTGGCTGTTGGGACAGAGGGCTGCCTGGCTCCCACCCTCACTTTCATGGCCTTTCCTGAGGGAGCCACAGGGACTCACTGTCCAAAGGAAGAGTATGCCTGCCTGGAAGGGTGGCGGTGGCGGCGGGGGGGTGGTGGGGGGAATCCTTCGGGGCAGGGGGCGCAGGGCTGGAGCTACTTCTCAAGAAAGGCCTGCGAGTGATTTCAGAGAAGTGCCTTTCACAGCCCAGTCCTTTGGGGGGCAGGCCCAATTATCACCCCCATCATGCAGATGAGGAAGCAGAGGCCCAGGGAGGTTAAGCTTCTTGCCCAGGGCCACCTTGCTTATCAGTACTGGAGCTCAAATGTCCGCCAAGGCCTGTCTGAATCCCAGCTCTTCCCCAGCGCACTGGGCCGGGTCTCCTGACATGGCCGCCTGGGCCTGGGGCTGCTGTGGTGAGGTGAGGGCTATTCAAGGCTTCTGAAACATTTCCTTTTGGGGTGGACTCCTGCATAGGCATTGGGATCTGAAACTGTGTGCCGCTACCTGTCATGACCAACATTGTGGTTGAACCCGCCCTTATAGTTCTTAATATAATTACAGGACACCCTTCAGCAGTAACCATCAGGAACCTTTGGAAGAAATGAAGGGACCGGGGCGCCTGGGTGGCTCAGTGGGTTAAGCCTCTGCCTTCAGCTCAGGTCATGATCTCAGGGTCCTGGGATCGAGCCCCACATCTGGCTCTCTGCTCAGCAAGGCATCTGCTTCCTCCTCTTTCTCTGCCTGCCTCTCTGCCTACTTGTGATCTCTCTGTCAAATAAATAAATAAAATCTTTAAAAAAAAAAAAAATGAAGGGACCTAGAAATAACACAGCACATGTGAGGCCACACAGCAAGGGTGAGGGGAGAGGAGAGAGAGAGCAAGCACCTGGGGTTCCACTTTTATTGGGGTTGAGGGTAGAGGCCTGGGGGTTTTCAGGGCTCACTCGTTATTGGTGAATTTTAAACATAAGAGTGGGAATTTTAAGAAAAAAAACCACGTGGCCGTATGGTCAGTTACCAAAATCTGCCAAGATCTCGGAAACCAAGGAGCCTCTGTGGTGGGGGGTGTCCCAGCTCTTTGTCTGGTCATGGGCGGGCAGTGGGTTTATTCAAGATAGCCCTCTTCTAGTGGATGCCTCCCTGAAGTGGACGCCTGGGCAGTCCAGAAGTCAAGCACTTGCATTACAAACCGGAAGGAAAACCCCACACCTGTCAGGGCCTACGCTAGCCAAGCACATTGGTTTCTGGAGGCCCAGGGCCCCAGTCCTGGTGGGCACACATAGCACACAGCAGGCATGCCCACAGTGGGCTCGCGTGCTTGACACTGCTCCTGTTTTCGAGAACACCCCTCGAGCTCTGTGTCTGACCTTCACGTTCTCTTTAACCTCCAGAGCCTATATTTCTCCAGGTTCAAACTCTCCATGGGAGAGTTTGCTGTCTTTGAGACTAGAACACTTTCCAACCAAAGCAAAATGGGCAGTAGGGTCCAGGAGCCAAACTGCCCTCCTTGGCTGATTGGGAATCCTCCCCTGTGGTCTTTCTCTCCTAGGACTCTGATGTCCACCCCGGTGACCCTGGCCAGAGCAGAGCATCTTCCTAGGGCTGGGCTACTGTGGGTCCATCCAGGAGATGGGCAGACTGAGATGCAAGCCAGCTGCTGGTGGGACATGTGCAGGCAGCCTCGGGGAGCCCCAGTCGTAGCCAGTAAACACTGCTGGCCGGGTAGAGTAGCCATAGCTCTGTGGCACGTGGGTAGCTGGCAAGCTTTGAGCCCAGTGATACTAGATTCAGAAGGGACAGGGGTGATGAGCATAGGCAGGAAACAGGGAGAGGCACACAGACCCATGGACGGGCAGCAGGCCCTGTGGACAGGCCGGCATTGATTCAGCCCACTCGTGTGTCCTGGCACTGGAGATGGAGTGGCTGGAGGAACCGGGCAGGGCTGGGGCAGGCACGGGCATTCGGGAGCACAGAGGCGCTGCTGATCAGGTGTTCCAGGTTGCAAAGTGAGTAGAGGCTAGGGTGCTGGGGTCAGGGGGGAGGAAGGCTGGATGAGGGCCTTCCAGTAGGGGAGGACCTTGGGATCTGGGCAAGGGGGTGCAGAGGCAGGAGGGGAGTTGTGCAAGGAGGTAGCCTGGAGTGGGGTGCCTTGTCAAGGTGCTCAAATTTTCTCCCAAAGGCAGTAGAGAGCCCTGGAGGACTGGCAAAGCCGGGGGGTGACGTGGTAACATTTGGAAATTTGTTGAGGTCATGGTTTAAAACCCTGAGCCCCACGTGTGGCTGCCTTTATGGGTTACTGGGGCTTTGGGGCCATCCGAGAGTGTCAGTCTCACTAAGCACGTCATTCCCTCAGGGAGCAAGTCCGCAGAGGAAGGTTCCAAGACCAAAGCTGGGGCATCTGCCATCTGTGTCCTCGGGAATGGAGTGGCTCTGGGAGTTCCACCCTGCTGAACAAGCGCACAGCAGTTCATGGGTTAAGAGAAGTGCTGAGGGGCGCCTGGGTGGCTCAGTGGTTTAAGCCGCTGCCTTCGGCTCAGGTCATGATCTCAGGGTTCTGGGATCAAGTCCCACATCGGGCTCTCTGCTCAGCAGGGAGCCTGCTTCCCTCCCTCTCTCTGCCTGCCTCTCTGTCTACTTGTGATCTCTCTCTGTCAAATAAATAAATAAATAAATAAATAAATAAAAAGAGAAGTGCTGATACGTACATAGAGTGGTGCCTGAATCTGGGGAGACCCATGTTGGACTGGGATGGGTCCCCTTGGGAATCGCCTGCGCTCGGTGATTGTGAGTGTGTATTTGGTGGGGGAGTGGTGCAGAGCTTAGGCTTCTGCATTTGGGGACTGAAGCCTCTCAGGCAGGAACACTGATCCCTCACGTCCCCGGAAGGCTCTCTACAGCAGCTCGGGGTGCCTGTCCCACCAGGCACAGGATTCCCACCAGCCATCTGGATGCTCACACACAATGCCTGTTTTCCCAGGGGTTCTGTACTAGGGCGGGGTCGGAACATCCCCCCAGTTCTAGGCCAAGCCCACACTGGGGGTGGGGAATGGGCCTGGGGCTCGCCAGGAAGAGGGGTGACGTCAGAGCCAGCCTGGGCTTCAGGGTCTCCGGACTCAGGGGGCCTACTGGGGCCACGGGCTGCATGAGGAACCAGCGGAGGGCACTCTGCGGCCCACCTGCCCCTCCCCCCAGGCTCCTCCAGCCCTCACTGCCATGTGCTCGGATGGCACTCCTCACTCACGGCCTCTGCTCAGAAAGGAAGTCCTGGAAGGGGGCGCGTGGCCCGGATGTGGGAGTACCGCCACACTGCATTTCTCACCAGTATTTAGAACTCATGTTTTCCAGGTTGTGGGTAGTTTTCCACTTTATCCTTTGGAGGGGCTGTTCCTCTCTCTGTGTTTCTTTAAGCCCTGAATGAGGACTGAAGGACTCCCTTTCTTTTCATTTTCCTTAGCCGGAAGTGGATTTCCCCATCCCTCCAGGCAGAGGCAGGAGTCAGGAGTCAGTGCAGAACCAGCCCCAGGAGCCTACCAGCATGCCCCAGACGCTGACTAGCACACTGGAGCACATCGTGGGCCAGCTGGACGTCCTCACCCAGGTAGGCCGGGACGTTCGTTCACCCCACTTGGCCTGGCATTTGGGCCGTTTGAAGTTGGGCAGCAGGTGCTATATTTAAAAAAAAAATAAAATCATCATAATGGATCTATTTTCCAGTCCAAATTAATGAAGTTGCAGTGCCTGTCTTGAGGTCCTGGCTCTCAGAGCCATCCAAGCTCCGGCCAAGCCACTGGACCCCAAAAATCCCCAGTGCTGGTCCTGCCAGGGTGTGCCCTCCCAGGGCCAGCCTGGGCCACAGCAGAGCTTTGAAAGAAACACTGTCCATTCATCCCGCTCATCGCGGGGTGGGCACCCTCCAGGGGTGTGCCAGGGAGCTGTGAGCGGTGAGTCAGGCATCTGGGAGCCCAGGCCCTGGCTTTGAGCTGGCACTGCTCTTATCCTCCAAGCAACCTTGGCGAAATCCCTTTGGCTCCCCAAGCCCTGGTGCGCTCCTCTGTGATATGCAGTGTTCGTGGACTCCAGGTCCTGTTCGTGGTCAGGATTAAAGAAGATGTGTGGGAAGCATTTGGCTTACACCTGGCTCGAGGGAGCTGTTCAGTAAACATAAGCGGTCGTGCTGACCAGCGTCATCAGCAAGGTAGACGTGGACCCAGGCCTCTGGAGCGTAGATACATCTGGCAGTTGCTAATACAGAACTGGAGTACAACAGCTTCCCTAAGAACAGAGTGCCCTGGCAAGAGGTGGCTGCTGGCACCGCAGGCACGAGAGTGGCCTTGGTAGGGGGAAGCAGCCTGCCTGCAGGACTGGAGGGGGCCATGGGCACATCAAGCAACAAGCAAAGCCCAGCATGGCTGGCATGGGGTGTAGGTGGTGGGGGTGTGCCAAGGCAGGATTTAAAGGTCGTCAGGCCCCTTCCCTACCTCAGCTGTGGGTGCAGACTGCCTTCTCTTGTGCCAGCTCGTGGGTAGACCAAGGGTGTAGAAAGAAGACAAAGGAGCCCTGAGTCCCTGGTAGAAATAGAGCTGAAGTGGCGTACCATCCTTTCCCTCCCTCTGGATCCCTGGCCAAGCGAGAAAAGCTCTATCATGTCACGTGGCCCACGGCGTGTCATGGTGTCCCAGCTGGCACTGCACACCTTGGGCCCAGGGAAGGAAGGAGCTTTGAAGGGAAAGGTCTGGCGTCAGTGGCTGGGGCTGGGGGGCTCCAGGGGGTGGGGAAGACAGGCACATCAGACAGACATTTCTGGAAGCCTGTTAACCCTTGAGAAGAAGGCCTGTGCTGAGAGAGGTATGAGCAACATGCACATCCCCCATCTCACGCGTCAGAAACCGCCAAGCCCGCCTCATGTTCTTCACAGCCTTGTCAAGTGTGAGAGATCAGGGGAGGTGGAATCAATTAGAACTTTATAGGATAAAATTGGAAATTAAGTCTGAGAAGATGGTTAAAAATAGCTTCATTGGATCGCTTCATTGGAGTATAGCACTAGAAGCATTTCCCGTCACTGTTTCAAGGGGTGCACGCGGGAGGTTTTGTTACGTGTTAGCAGTTTGGATTGTGATAGTAACTTTGTGAGAAACCGCCATCGCCGAGAATAATGTAGGCTTTCAGGTGGCCTGGGCCTCTGGCCCCAGGTCTGGATGGCTGTGTGGCACCGTCACCCTACCTCACACCGTCCAGCCCCTTTGCAGATCCAAACAGCACTCCACCCCCGACCAGATGCCAGGCCCGTCAGCCAGGCACCTGCTCTGCCAAACAGTGTACATTCCTGAATGTTCCTGATGGACTTGACATATCCTGAAGAAGAATCTTGGTTTCCACAGTTGAAGCCCCCAGTCGAGGCCTCAGCCTAGTTTCCAAGTGGTAGGAGGTGCATTTGTGCTCACTGGCATGCTGTCCTTGAGTTTGGTGCTGGTTGTTTTCCAGATGTACCTCCTCTCTTCCGGGGCTCTAGCTGAGGTGTCCGAGCTACAGCCAGAGCTGTCTCTTGTGGGATTGGGTGTTCCTTTCTCTTGGGACCAGTGTGGCTGTGGGCAGCCCCACCTCTGAAGCCCAGAGCCAGGTGACCCTGTGAGCTACCCATGTGGGTCACTCAGCCAGGCTCTGAGCCTCCTTTGCCTGTGGGTATTGGCCTCACACAGTATCCCGTCAGTGAGCACTCCTCTCCATCTTGACGTATGTCTATACTCTGGAGGGGCAGGGGTATCTCAGCTACCCCCACAAGGACTCCTACCTCAGAGTCATCTGAATCATGCTGTTCCCCTCTGTCCCAACCCCCTCACTGCCCCTTCCCTCCCCCACAAGGAAGTCTACTTCAAAGAGGGTTCTGAGAGGGAAGTTGCCTTCTGGGTCCTTCCATCCTCCATCACCCAGAACATCCTCCAGGGAAGAACTGTGGGGGCTGCAGTGGCTGAAATGTTTACTGAGTGAGTCACAGAGCCTTCCGCCCCTGGGTGACATGAGCAGGATACCCCATTGCGGAAGCCCTCAGTCCTCAGAGCCTGCCTTTCTGCTCAACAGGCTGGGATGGCCCAGTGACTGATTCCTCCTCTCTGGATGTTCACGGCCCCTTTGTGCCAGTCTGAAGGCCCAGGACCAATCTCAGTCCTCCTCAGTGGCCCAGAGATCAGGCGGCTGAGCGCGCCCATGGAGAACAGTGTGGATCAGCTTGCTTGGGTGTACGTTCTGGTGACCTTGGGCCAGGTGCTTAAGCTCTGTGCCTCAGTTTCCAAATCTGGAACACATTGCTGATAAGAGTAGCCACTTCACGGGTCTGTCGTGAGGATTAGATGTGTTAGCTTGTGTGAAGCTCTGCGAACAGTCCCCAGCAGCGCCGTGTGCTGCCCTCATCATTAGTCAGGGTCTGGTGGGGATGGCGGGGGATCACAGCAACACCAGAAACACTTCCCCCAGTTCCCCTCTATCTCCCTGCCCGGAGGAGCCATGCCTCAGCCCTCGCAGCGGGGGCGGCGAGTTTCCTTCGTTGCTTGAGCTCTCTCTGCATCTGGGGCCAGCAAGCGTTCAAAAGGCTTGTCATCGCCTGGGAAGCAAACTCTCCTTGGGCCATGTGTAGCATCCAAAATCCAGCCCTTTGACTACCCAGTTGAGGTTGTACCGTTTTGTTTTTTTAGGAATGCCCTTTCTCTAAAGTGTTCTTCAAACGGGTACTCCTTGTTCTTCAAAAGTGTACCTGTTCAGGGTGATAACTTTGGAATGGTTGCAAGGTTCACAGGCCTTTGTCCATCTCCCGCGTGAGTGTTCTCACTGGCCTGGCCTGGCAGTCCTCCCTATGGTGCTGTTTTAGATGGGAAGTCCACAGAGGGTAGGGATCATGTCTTCGTTGTCATCTGCCTCCTCCCGCTGTTTATCTGAGCCCTGCAGCTTCCCACAGGCACTCTTACCTGACCCTCATATCATCCTCCTGCCTGGCGCCCAGCAGCTAGCGCCATGCCAGGCGTGGAGAGGGTGTGGGTAATGGCTTGCTGGGCCTGGACCAGCCCCCAGGGCCGCTCAGCCTGGGACTTCTCCAGTATCCCGGGTGATCCTGAGCTCAAGCCACTGTAGGATGGGGTTCCCCAGCTTCCCCTGCTGGAGATTTTTGGTGTAGTCAGGGTTGGCTTCCTCGAGGAGCCCAGGGGTCTGTCTGGCCTTACACTCCCCTGCCAGCTGTGGGGAGCAGAGTGACCACCTGCCCATCAGCTTGGACACACCTGCCCTCCCGGATCTGAGGACCAACCCCGTCATTCATCAGGTGACATTGTTCCCCAGAGCCTTATAAAGTTGGGATAGTCGAGCCAGCTCATGTTTCTGAGCGCCGTTGGGAAGCCCCTGGTTAAATGGATGCGTTAGACTGGCACCAGCTATTCCGTGAAGCACAGCACGAAGTCTGTGTGTTCCCAGGAGAGTGTAGGAAAGCACCAGGCTGGCCAGGTAACACAGAAGTGTAGGGAGTGGACATTCCACAGGCCTCCGCAGCTGCTGGACTTGAGTCCCAGGAATGCCCTTGAGCTGCCAGTGAGACTCTAGTGGTCTGACTCGGCAGTAGGATGAGAGGGAGAGAAAGAAGAGCTCTTTTCCCAGGTCCAGGGAGGGGAGCCCAGGAGGTGATGGGGGACCGGGGTGCAAGGGGTTGTTGAAAATCAGAGATGGGTCATGGGGCCCATTAGAGATGGGAGCCTTGAACCTGGACCCAGGCATCTGGCCAAGATTGAAGCTCTTCAAAGACTTATACTTACTGTGATAGCTGCTCTTTGAATCCAGTTATCCTAATGGTTGTTGGGGGAAATGTGTTTCCTAATAATGGCATTTAGGTTTTTCTTTCTTTCTAATTTTTTAAATTGTATTTATTTGAGAGAGTGAGAGAGCCTAAGCAGGGGGAGGGGTAGAGGAAGAAGCAGGCTCCCTGATGAGCAGGGAGCCCAATGTGGGGCTCGATCCCAGGACCTTGAGATCATGACCTGAGCCGAAGGCAAATGTTTAACTGAGCCACCCAGGCACCGGGGTGTAGGTTTTTCTTTGGAAACTTTTTGCTCCTCAAAACCCAGCATGGGAATTCTCAGGAGCTGCCAGGGCTGAGTGGGTGCCCCGTCTTCCTCTTGTGACCCTGTCCTCACACACACACACACACACACACACACACACACACACACACACACACCCTGGGGAGAACACACACCTGTCCTGTGGCTACCACGGGGTCACTGCCTGTCCCAAGTCTTCTCTTCCTGAGAAAGTTGGCTCAACCTTAGAGGACTATGAGGTCCAGAAAAAAAACTGCTCTGGCCCAGCTTTACCTCTTTCTGTCTGTGTAGATCTGAGTAAGCCCTGGTTTCCTCCTCTATAGACGGGAGACTTTGGGCACTGCCCATCTGCCTGTCCCATGCGATAGGCAGCAGAGGTCAGCACCTCACGTGGGGCCGGGACTTCCCTTAGGGCCTTCTTTCCATGAGTCGCCTTCCTATCTCTGCTCCCCTTGAGGAAGGACTCCAGGGTAGGCCCCGTGGCTGCCAGACCTGCCTGCTTGGGGATGGGCCTTCAGCATGT